AGACACCATGGGGCGGGTGGGAAGGGCAGGAGGAGCGCATGAGGAGAGAAAAGCAAAGACAGTTAAGGACACCGCGGGAGATCCTGGAGGGAGAAGGGATAACGCAAGAGTCTGGCAGAGTGGAGAGCGGCTGAGTAGAGCCCGACATTGCCAAGACAAGGAAGGATGGCGGGGCTGGGGGGACCCACCAGCCCCATGGCAGCACTGCGAGCCTAAATGCACATGAGAACAAGCTCCTACCCAGGTCAGAGGTGCCCATGCCACTATGGTGGTACTGGACCTGCTGCCTAGGTCTTAGGACTCACCTTCCCCTTCCCTGCCTTGTCTCCCCTTCTTCTTCCACCCCATATCGTTCTCACATCAAGGTCAGGTTTGCTGAGGGTTTAGTGAGGGGACAGTCACAGGTGCAGCTGTGAAAACCCCAACACCCCTGGGAATGGACATCATCAATGACTCAAACGGCATCACCAGTCACTGCTGTGGCTACTGGACCCCAAATATAACAGGATGGGGAAAGTGGGAGCCAATAGCACTGCAGGCAGTGGGGAGAAATGGTAAAAAGCATCAGGCACGGCATGTGTGGCCAGCCCAGGGCGGTGTCACCATGTGTGTTATCTCCATGAAGTGCATGTGCTGCATGTTTGGGAACTGTGCCGGTCACTCATGGCTTGGTATAGGACACCTCCAGTGACGTGGCAGGAAGGGCAGGGAAAAGGTGGGCATGCCGTCATCATCGCTCCCTTGCCATCACGTGGTTGAGAGGGACATGATGGAGAAGAAATGGGAGTATTGGAAGTCCACATGTTGGGACACCATTGAGCATGAAGGAGATTTAGGAGAAAAAAAAACACTCGAAATCTCATGCCTTGCTTTTGGGGGTCTGTATGGAAGGCTGAAGGTGAGATAAAAGTTATGATCCTCATAAGATGCAATATCACAAGATGTAAGTACAATGAATGACACTCCTGGTACACGACTTGGAATGTTTACTAACGGTTTAGGAAACATGCCCCACAGGACAGTGTGCAAACTAGAAGGAATATACTGAGGCATGCAACATAGGTTTGATCTAAATAGCTTTGAGAGGGCAGGGGATGTGGCAGAGCTCCCCAACTCTTTGCACAGGCTTTTTGCATCTTTCAATTGCAGAGAGCAAACCAAGGAAAGTCAGGTTACAGCAGTAGCACTTTGTAAAGAGCTGCAACCCAGCCAAGAAAGCCAGGAGAGAAGGTCGGGTGACAGAGGGAGAGGAGGTCCAGGAGGAATCCATCTTTAGCAGAAGACAGACACACAGCAGCCCCAGGGCATCACAGCCTCGGTGTGGGCTTGTTCTGGTAGCAAGAAAGTGCTAAATTACCAATCCCTCATGTTGGACGAGATATTGGAAGAGCACAGAGGATCCTGGCCAAATATGATCTAAATTGTGTTCACTTCTTTCCACGTTTTTCCTCTTAAAATTGTGCTTCTAGTGCTTTTATCAAGAAAAACATTTTGTTCAGATAAAACACATTATGTTCATTTTAAACTTGTCTAAGCATTTTGGGTAATCTCCAGGGGATCTGGCAAATGTAGAGGTAATGGATTCAAATGAAGTGTCTTAAAGGTGAGTATCGCATGTGCCTGGAAACCCAGACAAAAGTTTAAGTGTCTCAAGAACTGGGATACGTTTCCTAGCCAGCTCAAGGTCAGTTGGTGGTTTAGTATAGACAGGGAAGAGAAGATACATCCCCGTGGTAGCTTTAACTCAGCATCTGTTCAGGACAGGCAGCAGAGGCACAAATTGTGATGCTAGGAAAAAAAAACACTCTTTGTCACATTATTACTTGGAGAAGCAGGGATTGTATGGGGGCCACATGGCTGTGTTATGACTGGTTTGACAGCTCAAGGATACATGTACCAACCATGGAGGAACATCCACAGCCCCTCCACACCTTCCTCCAGGCCAGGTGCACCACGGCAGAGATGCTTGGAGAGGAATGAATTTACCCCAGGCCCAGCCAGAGCCAACCTTGGCTTTCCTGGAGAGGAAACCCTCAAGAGGTCCATCGTGGAGGTGGCTGCAGCTCCAAAGGGCCAGTCTGGAGCCATCAAGAGGTTGCCCAGCTCTGCAGCCACGTGGCACCTGCAGCCCCGGGGCTCACATCCAGACCACAGCAGAGAGGTGAAGGTGCTTAGCATGGTGTTGACTCTGGAGGTAGCCACCCAAGCTGGCCAGATCTTCTGGCCGTGGGAAGGCAGCCAACCTCTCCCTCATCTTGGTCCCCACATCTAGACATCTAGGGAAAGTGCCACGACTGCCTCTCTTCCTCCAGCATCACAGGTACCCTAACAGGACCGTTGAATATGATCCCACAGATTTTGGCCCAAAGCCCACAGACACCACTAGACTTCACCACAAATCCTACTTTCACTTAATTACTTGCTAGAAAACGACTTGCCTTTCCCTCCATTTCTTCTCCTTATGCGAAGTCCAGGGCTCTCTGCAGCCCTTCTCGGACTGAGAGGGAACGACTCGCTTTCGTAACCCCAGACGAGCTAACGGCACGCACCCTCGCTTCCTTTGGTCCCGCAGCCAGCGCCGCCAAGAAGGGAAGCGAGCGCACCCCAAACGAGCAGAGCCAGAAGGCAGCACGGCCACGCGGAGGAGGAGGGACACGGTAGAGTCCGTCGCGTGGGTCCACATCCAGGACTTCAAAGGAGCATCAGCAGGAGTCAAACAAACGCTCTGTCTGCTGGCTAAATAATGTCATCTGCAAATGATTTGTCCTGTCACCACCAGTCTGGATGCTTCGCCCTCACAGACGATCAAACAGGAGGTCTGCTTTCCAAGATTTGTCATCACTAGAACCCACTGCAGCTGCCTAAATGTCTCTTTCCAAGTAGTGCAAGTTGCAAACACTTCATCAGCAACTTGCGTCATCCCATCCTCGGCGCTCGAGCATTTCCAGAGGGTGGAATTAACCCTCTGGTTCATAGATTCACGCAGTAAACGGTAACTTTTGGGCAATTCAGTAGTATTTGTGGCTGCTCTGTGCCAATGCACCTCTGCCTCTTGGGGCTCAAGGAGGCAGCTTCCACCCCACGTTCTGGCTGGTCCTTGGTCTCTTCACTGCGGCAGCGAGCAGTGACGGCAATGCTCAGCCTCGGCAACGGCAGCGGCTGTGTGATTACTCTAGTCTGTCACGTAAGGAATTTTATGTACTCCTTATGCAAGCTATCACAACAGATGTCAGATGGCCTGTGCAAACCAGGGCTGGATTTCACATCTGGAAATGGAGACGGAGCATCATCGCCACAGCTGGGCTCAAGAAGGTGAGACCTAAGTCCAAGCCTGCTGATCCCACTCAGTGTCATGGGAATGAAGCAACCCTGGGCAGAGGAGCTGGTGGGATCCTCAGCCTTAACTAGACTCCACGCGCTGAGATGTCGCTACCGAGCTTTGCGGTTGTGCCTCAAAGAGCTCACATTTCTTAGAACATAAATTGGAAAAGAGGAAAGAGGAGAAACCCCAGCTTTGCTTCAGGGACTGGAGGATCTCTTAGGAGTTTCCCACCAAAGCTGAACCAGGAGACATCGCTAAGACACTAAGTGCAAGACAGCCACCATCTCTTTTCTGAGTCTGACTGCCTAGCAGAGGTTTGGAGGACAGAGAAGGAACGTGGAGGATCTCCGATCCTCTACTAGAAATCCACAGGCGATCACCTGGAGAAGCAGGTCTGGAAGACAGCTAGTGGTGAGACCAGCAAGAGGAGGTGTGGGGCAGGGGGTAAGGTGGAGACCATGCATTTCATAGATAGGAGCTGTTGCTGACGTACATTTGAAGTAATCCTTATTTCTGGATGGGCTCAAGGCTCTGGTTCTTTGGAGGCCAGATGCTATGAAACACCACTGCAGCCCACACAATCTCCCAACCCGGCTTGCTAAACTGACTGGAAACATCCACGTTACAAGGAAATCACGCAGACAAAAGCAGACTTTGAAAGACACAGGGAGAATGGAACATCTGGCTGCCTCTGCAAGCCCGGGGCATGAGGCACTCCATCCCCAGGCAGTTGGAGGGACTGCAGTGACCTGGAGGAGCCCAGGGAGAGGACATGGTGCTCACTCAGGCATGAAGGGACTGTTTCAGCCAGGAAGAGCTCAGGGAAACCTCCTCCAAAACCTGCCATCGCAGCTCAGTACTGCCTGGGCACCAAAATCACTCTATCTCTGAGATCACCCCACCCAACCACAGACATGGATCAAAAGGGAGGGAAGACATGCAGTTCAGACCCAAGGTCAATCCGCTGCCTGATTTGGACCACAAGTGACAGTGAGTTCAACACACAGAGATGCATTCAACTCAAGTCAAAGCCCAGGAAAAGGAGGAAAGCCAAGTCTGACCTTGGCACGGCCCAGCACATCTATGTGCATTTGCATGCACTTCATCCCGCAGCTTCCACAGCCAAGCTCTTCTGTGTCACCTTCTTCAGCAGGCTTGAAGGCACAACCACCTCCTTGCACCTTCTTCCCTCCATCAATGCCCGGGGCCCTTCTCTAGCAACATGCTCCAACCACACTCCTTCCCCTTCTCACCTGCAGCAACCTCCATTCCTCAAAGGTGCATTATTTTTCAAAGACTTTCTGCCTTTTTGCCTGAGGCAGCAGCTACTGAGGGAAAAAGAGAATCCCATCCCCTTCCCACCCTGCATAGCATGAACGGACTAGGCACAACTCCAGAGACAGTTTAGGGCTGGTGGGATGGACAAGGATGATGGGTTGACAATGGTCTACTACCTTCCACCTTGTCCTATCTTTATGGTCCTTCAAGGGAGATGGCCAGACCCCAAACACATGCACAGTATCCAGCAAAACAGGAACCCCACTGTGAGACTCTAAGCTCCATCATCAAACAAATTCATGAGATTTGCCAGATAGCCACCTTTCTGGTGACCAACATCTACGAGGGATAAGCCTGCTGGTGGGCAGGTCTGCCTGCCTAGCCAGCCCAGCTCCCAAGCCTACCTGGGTCCCAGCTCATCTTCACAGCGCCAGGTGAACTCCCCAAAGCTCTCGTAGTGCTGGTTGTAGTGGTAAAGGACTCGGTGCAGGCTGGGGGAACCCAAGTCCAGCAGAGTGTTGTAGGCTGTTTGCTGCTCCTTGCCGCTGGTGTAGCCATTGAAGAGGTTGTAGATTTTGTCTGCTATTTCTGGGCAGAAGGACAGGGGGTATTCAGCGGGGTGTAAAGAAAGGCACAAACAAAGCCCACCAGGCTAAAACTCAGCTTTAGGGAAACCAAGACCAGAGCCCAAGATTTGTCCCCGGAGTTATGATTTACAACATATCAAGACACGGTCCTAATGGAGGAGCAACAGAGTAGGTGGCATTCCCTGGACTCAGTCCAGGTTAAGTTCCCGTAGTTTGGTCCAATTAGGAAAAGAAACGGGTGGTGTCATCAGGTACTGTCAGTGAAATATCACTTATTTACAAGAAGGTACTCAATTGGGGTTTTTTGAGCACAGCCACCACCTACACTACCAGTTGCTTTCTGGGCAGGACAGATAGGTCTTCTTGGCTATTTCAGTACATCCTGAATGCCTGCACCTCCATCCATCCTCCCACACCTCCACCAGCACAGAACGCTTCTGCATTTGTTTGCAGAGAGGATGTGTGCCTCCTGCCTCCCTCTACACCAACCCTCAACACCATGTGGCAGCACCTGGGCCACCATGGGCGAAGGAGGTGTTACAGCCAGGACACAAGACGTGTGCAAGGACATGCTGGAAGAGGGAGCTCCTTGTTGCTGGTCCCAAGTATCACAGTCCAGCGGCTCCCTCCATCTCACCTTGAGCTTTCACATCATCTACCACAGGGCAGGGGGTCTTGACTGTCACATCACTGGACCTGGAGCGTCTTCCTGTGTTATCAACACCCCAGAGCGTGAACCTGGCCAAGAAGGAAAAAAGGTGAAGCTCTGGATGCCCAAGACTGCATGCAAACAGAGATAGCGTCGGGCAGGGCCACCATGATCTGTGGCTGTGGGCATGGCATGGGGGAGACAACTCACATGTATGTTGTGTCGGGCTCCAGGCAGCGAACGATGAGGGAGATGGTGGAGGACAGCCTGTCAGGCACTTGGGCAGGCATGGCGCAGGGTGACTTGGCACCGGAGATGATGTCATCCACGAAGCTCAGCACCGTCTCTAGGGATAGAGGGAAGGACGTGCCGCAGGTGATGACACAGGTGTCCCTGGGGCCGTGGAGAGCTGCTGAGGTCTGTGCCCACTACCACACTGCCTGGTGCCAAGGGGGACCAAGGCTCATACATGAGGTTGGTGCAGAGATGGACCCATTGCATTTCCAGCAAGGCTCACCGTGGCGTGGAGCTGCCACTTCTGCAGCATGGTGGGCAGGAGAGGGGCTGCTTTCTCTTCCACAGGTTACTGGATATGTTGCAGCATCCCCTTGCAAAGAGAGAGACAGAGGCTCTCCTCCAACATCTCCATCCCACCCTCCCCAGAGAGAACCAGTGGAGTCCCCACTCACCTGTCTCCACCTTGGAGTGGTCCATTCTGTCGGTGACTTTCTCTTGACGGAGGAGGTAGTCGACGATCTGCACCCCGATGGGGGGCTCTGAGTGCCCCCACTCCAGCACCACCAGTGTGCTGCTGGGCTCATGAACAGTGGAGAGCCGCAGGCTGAGGGGCAATGCCGGCTGGTCAGCATCTCAGGAGGGCAAGGTCTGCTGGTCATCCCCACCACCCACTTATGCTCATCCTCACCCACGTCTATCACCACCTTACTGCTCCTCTGCACCTTAAAAAGGCAGCAAAACCACCAGGCTGAGGCACACAGTATGGGAGACGTGCTGAGGACAACCTCTGTAGCCAGTCCCCACGCCTGGTGCAAAAGGCAGTGTGCGTGTGTTTGCTAGTGCCACTCACTCTGCAGTGCAGACCACACGCAAATGCACCAGAAACGAGTTGGTTTCTGGTTTTTGCATTACTCTATCACAGCAAAAGGGCTTCAAAGTTATTAACCCATGGGAGAGAACAACCTCAGGAGAGAAGTGATTCCCCCTCTCCTACCCCTCCTGGCTCTGGGCATGCTGGTCCAAAGAGCTCCTTCCGTGGGGCTGCTTTACCAGGATGGACCCAAAACCAGCTTCCAAGTCCTCAGTTGAATTTAGAAAAGACGCTGCATCTCTGCACCTACTGGTTGATTTTCCAATCCCCCACGCACTTGCAAACCTGTCCCATAAAGCCACCCCAGCCCCACCACCTCCTGCCGCCACGCCGCTGGTCATTGTCACCTCCTCCCAAACCCAACACACCAAGAGGCCAGGCTGGGCACACATGGAGACCTACATGGGGTGCGGGAGAGGTGCGCAGGTGGGCAGCCCGTCAGCCCCAAAGGCACTCGAGTCACAGCGGCACCAGTCCTCGATGACATCCCCGCTGCCTGAGCACCATAGCGAGCTCATGGTGGCCTCCTGCAAGAGCTGAGAGAGGGGAGAATGGGGTGAGCACCAGGTAGGTGAGCTCCCCTTCCACCACCATTCCAGTTAGAGCTCATCCATCCCCCGGTGGGTTCAGCACAGTCCATCCACCCTGGAGAGCAGGGCTGGCCAACGGGCA